TTTAATTATACTATACCAATTATACGGTTATTATACCATTTTTTTTATACGGTATCGTATAATTGCCCATCCCTAGTTATAGCCTCTAATGTTAATGCCCTAACCCTCGTTTCCGACTTTTTTAATTTAAACATTTAAACACTAGTTTTTGAGTTTTTCATGTCGGGCTGATCCGGAACAGTCAAATTTTGTGGGCCATTTTCTTTTAGGGGTTTGTATTACTCGCGCAAAAGCTACCATGAAAGTTCGTCGCAAATTATCGAAACTATTTTTTTGCCGTTGACGAATTGACGAAACTCATATGTTTCGTCATGGTTTCGTGAGTTTCATCAGGCATCATTATCGCAAATGCGCCAATCAGGTCTTTTCTAACAATCGACTCTCTATGAAACCATCTGCTGCACACTAACAAAAAAAATTTTTCCGTAAAATTTTAGTATAAGCCATAATTTCAAGGTTTTTATCACTTTAAAAATTCGATTATTTAATCATCTGATTGGTCGATCTTTCATGGCCTTACTGGTACCTTACTGGTACCTTACTGGGGTAGCTTAGCGAAAATTCAAAGTATTCATTTTGGAAACATCTAAACATACCCTAAAATTAACCAATAAGATTGCACGTTATTATATTAAAAAGTTAGTAAAAATTATAGTATTATTAAAAAAGTAGGTAAGAATAGAGATGGTTTATCACGCTAATTTTGTGATATTTGAGAATTTATTAAAATTTAATTGGATTAAATTCTAAAATATCATAAAATTCACGTGATAAACTCGAATTATTAGAACCGGTTCCAACCTCTAGGTAAGAAGGATCAAAAATGAATGTTTTGCAAAGCAAACTACCCCGAAAATACCCCCGAAAAACTCTGCACTTTTTTTGAAGAATCATCTTTAGTCCAAAATCTTGCCTATGAAACCGCCTTTCACATCAAATTTCGGTATATGCAATTCCCTAATCTATACTCCAAAGTTAACTCTAATGTAACTTAAATCTTTCGTTTCTTCGATTGTTTTTATTTTCATGCTACACGTGATTTGAATTCTTCGGAACGCATATGCACTAAAATATAAAAATCATAAAGATATTAGAAATAGAAATGTATTGTTTTAAATAGAGGGTTGAAATCAAAATTTATTGTTTTATTTCGAAATATTCTTGTATAAACAAGTTTAATTAATTGAGACTTTGTAAAAAATAAGTGATCAATGAAAATAAATGAAAATAATATTTTTAGAAAAGAAACAAATTGATATAGCAAAAAAAATAAATAAATATCGATATGTATATATATTGGTATTTAGAATTTCCTTGGTTTAATCTTAATCATTAATTCACGACAAGAGTTAATGAAACCAGATTCATATTTAAGTGGTGCGTTAATATCCACCAAATCAATATCATAATTTCTATAAATTAAAGTCGTTAAACATTTTAATTCTATAGTAGCCAATTTTCTTCCAGGACACATTCTAATTCCACCTCCAAACATAGAATAAGTATTTTTAATTTTTTTCTTTTCAAGTAAATATTTATCATTATCACTTTCTTCAACTTTATAAAATCTGTCAGGATCGAATTTTTCAGGATCGGTCCAATAATTTTTATTTTTCATTATTGAACCAAAATACATTTGAAATACAGATCCTGCTGGCCATTCATATCCTCCAACGTTATCACTTTCGGTACTTACACGACCGTTCATAAAAGCTATAGGACTATGACGATTTACTTCTTTAATAACTGCATCACAATATTGTAATTCTTCAAGATCTTTATATGTTATAGGTCTTGTTAAGTCATTTCCAAAAACTTCATCGAACTCTTGCCGTAATCGTTTTGTTACTTCAGGATGATTTCCGAGATAATATACGATAAAGCAAAGCATATTTGCCGACTATAATTTTTTAAAAAAAGAGTTTAATATAAGTTTAGGTAGTAAAAAAAAAAAATTTTTTTATTTTACTTACGGTGTCAGTTCCTGCGATAATCGACTCGAATATATTACCAAAAATCACTTTATCGTTCAGTGGTCTCGACATATCAACATCGTCACTATGTTTAATAACATTTATATCACGTGGAGTATTTGCGGTTATATGTGACGTTAACAAATCATGACGAAGCGGTTGGTCTAATGGAGTATTCTCAATTTCAGTCCTTCTATCATTGATAATTTTCTCTATTCTACCAAAAAACTTTTCCTTATTTTTTAATAGACTCTTTATTTTTTCTTTAAGAAATGGAAAATTATTGCGTATAAACTTATTAAAAACAAAGAAATAACCAATTCCACCCATATAAATTTCAACAGATTGAACAAAATCTTCAGCATCTTTCAATTTTTCTTGATCATTTTCATTTAAAGATTTAATACTTTCAGGAACAACAATGGTATGTTAATAAGCAGCAACAGCATTATTTTTTACACCAGTTGCAATTTTAAAAATAATTTCATTTGTAAATCTATGCATCCATTTTGTAAGATCTAATTCATGATTTTCATCAAGTTTATTCCAATAAGATTCCATTTCTTTCCATAATTCATTTGTCCATTCGATAGCTTGATTATCAAAACTTGGAGTTAACATAGACTGAGAAAAAAATTGACGATTAAATTTCCAAGATTTGGGATCATTATTATGACCTATTCCCACTTCACTAATTCCATATTCAACAAGTCCTTCAGTATTGTTAAATCTAATAGGATATTTAGTTTTTGTTGAAGTTGTATTCATATTTTCAATTAAATCTGGTCTACATAATACGATTGTACGTTGTCCTGCATAATTTACTTCAAACATGTCACCATATTTTTTGTGCAATAATTTGTACCAATTACCTAAACTATGTCCATTTTTTTGGTGAATGTTACCAATAATTGGAAGTGGAATAGGACCTGGTAGAGGATTTATACGAGTGAAATAACGATAATAAAAATGTGTTACATAACCGATTATTAAAATTATTAAGAGAGAGGGTATGTCAGATAATTCGAACGATAAAATACTAATTGGCATCGTTAATTAAAAAAAAAAATTTTTTTTCTTTTTTTTTTTTTTATTCAAAAACTACAAAATAATTCACACCCTC